ATAAATTATAAATATCTTTAATTTAGTATTATATTTTTTGGTAATAATTTTTTTTTCATTTAGGAAAATATTTCTTGAGAGTTAATTAGTTATTAGTAATTCATATAAAAAATAATTAAAAAAGAAGGTTCAAAATAATAAAACTTAAAAAATTAATTACCAATAATTTGGTAAAATTTCAATACCCTCAATTTTATATTTTGATATTAATGTATCTTTCATTATAATTTTAACATCTTCATTTTCATTAACTCCATCTAATGAAATTGCACCAATATAACTTTCAATTTTGTCATTATGCTCAACACTTTTTGTATAAATAACAGTTCTTTCATTAAATGGAAGGATTTTAATAGAACTAAAACATCGTTCATTAACATATTGTGGGTCTTTATATTTCCTACACACATTAATATCTTCATCGCAAATAATAATATATTGACTTGAAGCAACTTCATCAAGTTCATCAATCCATTCTATTTTACTTACTTTCCTTGGAAAAATATACCATTCATGGTACATATTTGAATATAAAATTCCTTCATTTGTAATATACCCTGGATATGAAATATTAAGTACTTTATGAATTCTTTCATACTTATCTATCCATGACTCAACTCTCTTTTCTAATTGTGTATTAATATGATAAATATATGAATTAGAATAATCATCAATTCCATTTACATGAATATTTCCTTGTGATCCAACAATCATCTCATCATTATAAACTGTTCCCCATTCTACTTTCATTCCATCTTCTGAAGTCCCATTTCCTTCACTAAGAATAATTCTTGGATATAATTCTTGGCGGTCAATATTTATTTCATACCCAATTCCTGTTTTATCATCAAACCCATATAATTTCTTATTGTACCAAACTAATTCTGATAATTCATTTCCTCTTTTTCCTTTACTAAATTTGCTAATAAGTTTACTATGACTTGTCTCTTCATACTCCCATCCTTTTTCTGTAATAAAAATTTTTCCTAAATAGATTTGACAATAATAATCATTTCCATATCTTGTGAGTTCATCATCATCACTAATCATCCCGATATTAATACTTGTCATTTTCTTTTCATAACTTTGATAATTATCTAAAACTGTTGGATATTTAAAGGTGTTTTGTATAGAAAATCCTGTAATAATACTAACGAACCCAATTGTACTAATTACAATAATTGATAAAACAACAACCATTGTAATAATATTAACTTTCATTTCAGTTGTAAGAAATATTCCCATTTAAAGTATGTTCTTTTTAATTTACAGATTAAATTTATTTTCAAAGTCTTCTTATATTTAATAAATAAATCATTTTCTTTAGCTAAAGAAGATAATATTTTTTATTAATTTTTCCTTCATCTGACAAATATTGGTATAAAAAAAGACTAATAACCTATAACTAAATCTGAAGATATAACAACCTAAAATATCGAATTAAGTAATTAATAACCTAATACAAATGAAGAATTAATAAAATTTTATAGTGCTTTAATCCTAATCAAAAAGTAATGTCAAAAAAAAAAGAAAAAGAATTAAAAACTGTCCTTAAGACATTTTCTGATGAAGAAAGATGATAAATACTGTTAACAATAATTTTTATAATACACAGTATTGACTAAAACATTAATAAATCAAATTTTAAAAAGAAAATAATGACATTCCTAATTAAAACAAAGAGACTTATGATGGAACAAAATTTAAGTATATAACAGAATGCATAAAGGTATTAAAGTCACTGTATTTTGGAAATGTGAAAAATTACACAGAGCCTAAAAAACAACAATAAACTAAGGACAAAGAAGATAAAAAAAAAGAAAAAAGTGAATAAAAAGTTTGAAAAAAAAAGAAAAAAGAAAAATTCATAGTAATAAAGTATAATGTTATTATAAATAAGAAAGTTAGTTTTTATCTTAAATGGAAGAATAAAAATGATGTTATTAGTTAATATAAATTAGACACAAAAAGGTACTTAATCTAAAGAAAAAGTTTAAATAAAGACAAGCAGAATTAAAACTAGATTAAGAAAGTAGCATAATTTACAAAACAAAGTGGTAAGAATAAAATATGCTATTGAACATTTTTTGACTAATCACTTTAATTAAGATAATTTGACTCAAATCACAGCAAATATAATTATGAAAGAAATGGTTAGTGAAAATAAATACCTAATAATGGATAGGAAAATACTGTAATACAATAAATAAATTAGTGTGCCTTAGAAGTATGAAAAAAGGTGCCTTATTATTTATTCAAAAATAATCAAAACCAAAATTAATTTAATTTGATTATTAAAAAACAGAAGAAGAATTTTAAAGATGAT